TTCACCCACATATACCTAGAGAAGAGCATGTAAAGCCAGCGGAACCACACCAATTGACTCTTGTGTTGCATCATGGCGCCAAACGCTTGGCGGTACTCGTGGACACCGGCCACAAAGACGGGTAAGCCCGAGGTCGACTGAGATACGAAACCATAACGTTGGAGGAGACCGCCGGCGAGGATGTCGAATTTCGCTAGAAGAGGGGCTAATGGGCCAATGTACTTGTCGGCGAGGGTGTGTGATAGAAGCGTGAACAGGCGTGGGGTCGGCGTGTTCGGATGTTTCTGTTGGAATGTGGAAATGAGGTGTAGGACGCCTCGAGGGAGGGATTTGTGGTTTGGGTGGTCTGAGATGCCACGTGAGTCGAAGGTCATGATCTGGGTAGGAAACAGCGTGGGCTCAGACTCCAACGCCAGCAAGATTGAAAAAACACGCACATCTGTAATGTTGTTCTGGATTACATAGGGCTCGAGAACTTGTGCGATTACGCTTTCATCCCAAGAAGATGAGATATCATCTTGTAATTCGCTATATGTCAAGTGTTAGCACCAGACACATTTTCAGTGCTTTAACTAGACCATGGTCACACCTCCAAAGCACTGAACGACGCAACTTACGGTATATCGACGAGCCGCCTTCTGTCCTTCAGTATCCCCAGTACCTCGAGACTTGTACTGAGCTCATTTCTCCTCACATCGCCTAATCCGTCGGCATTCCCAACGGAAAGGCACATCGAGTGCAAGCGTGGCTCACGATTGAGCATGGGGGGTCCGTTTGGATATTCGACCAGGTGTCTAATCGCAAGAATCGTTGGCGAGAAGAACATGCATTCGTCGTCAGGATGTGCTGTAAGCAGAAGGATATTGACTTCTGCCGCATTACGGCCCACAAAGCCAGAGACGTTTTCTCGTAGTGGCTCTTGTAGTGACCGAGCGAGAAACGCTATAAGCACGAAGAAACAGGCGATGCGGGCCAAAGTAGCCATGGTGGTTAGTAGGCACTAGTAGCGGGCCATAACAGGCAGTGATTCTACTTTGTGGCGTCAAGCGTTTAGCGTAGTCCCTCTACTGCTCAAGCCTGAGTCTACTCGTCGTGATTACAATTGGCTCGTGTCTGAGCACTCAGCAGCTGTCTGACTGCAACTCGCTGGTCAGTTGCTTGGACATAGCTTTCAATGGTCATTTTGACAGGGTAGATTCAGTAAAGCATGTGTTAGTGCTAGTGGAATTTACAGTAATCCCTTCGCTGCATAAAATCACAGCCACTGGCAATATCATTCAGATTTGAGCTGTGAGTATCTTCTATTCTATGAACGGTTTCCCCTACCGTTTATTTCTATACCATTCGGAAGTCGGACGGTTCCCGTAGAGGTTGCCAGTGATGTTACGAGCATGGTACATTCCTGAGTCCCTATCGCTGCAAACACAGCGGTATGAGAAATCATGCGCAGGAATTATTCATTCGTCCACTTATGCCTAGCACAGCCCGCACTCATCTTTGTCATGAAACCCGTTCGAAAAGTAAATTTGATTTTTTGCAGTGAACCGCAGCTGCTGCTAATTGCCGTCCAAAGCCGCAAAATAAGCGCCTTGTCCGGAATGCAAACACACGTCAACAAAAGTGGCAGTACTGGCCAGCCTGTGCTTCAAGAAGAACGATGAACCTCGACTCTGAAGCTTTGGAAAAACAGTGTCATGCAGGCCAACAAAACAGGTCTGCTGGAGTTGGATCGATTGAGTCCAACCCAGCGGTCCAACGTTTTCTGCATAAGAGCCAAGGGACTACAATGGCTCGAAACACAACGCCCTGCACCGGATTTACTCATTGGCCGGGGGGCTCGGGCGACATGGCCTTTTGTCTGAAAGGCAGTGTGTTCTTTGTCTTCAAGGTCCGTATTGCATTGTCTCTTCCCCTGCAGATATAAAGGCACCATAAGGCTTTCAACATGTTCAATATTTCTACCCTCCTTTCTTCCTTTCGTTGTAACCCACTACTTCGACAGCCATGGTCGCAGTCTCCAACCTAGTCAAAGCTCTCCTCGCCTCGTCCGCCGCTCAGAACGTGCAAGAGCTCAATCGTTTGGCCGCATTCGGTGGCATAGTAGGCTGCGACATCTCCAACACCACCGACAAGATCAACCTGGGCCCAATAAACAACGCGTTCCAAGCCAATTTCACGCCGACGTTTATGGGACTAGCCTTTGGAACTCAAAACTACACGTGTTCACCGTCGAACAACTTCACGTACGTCGTGATTGTCAAGCTTTAGCCCTGCGAAAACGCTGACGCGACCGTTTGATTTTACAGCAACATCGGCGCTGTCGCAGAGTTGTTCGATGTCAGCTGCCTGGTCAATGCGACCTTTCTGAACGATCTTCAAATACCTCTCTTTAACGCGTGGAGCACCTTCCCTTCCCTTACTGTCCAGGACTTTATCGAGTTTTTCCACGAATCCAACGCACCAGAAGTGCTGGCTCAGCACTACTTCATCCCCAATCCAATCACTGGCCAAGGCTTGTCTCCTACGTGGGACTTCAGGTCGTCGGGAAACCCCAAGTTTGTCGGTGTCGATGAAGCCATCTTTGTTGGGAAGGGAGTGGCCAGCGTCCCTGCGCCGCATAATGCGACGGACGTTGCCTGGCTCAATGTCGCCAATATCGGCCAGGGCAAAGGTGGACAGATCGCAGATCAGGTCTTCAGGACAAACACCATCGGTGGCCAGCCGCCGTCAAACGTGAGTCGATGTGCAATGTACGTGCCAAGAGTCGCTATTAACGTCGACCTTAGTGCACTTTCGGCGAATCTCTCGATATTACCGTCAAATATTCATCTTTCTATTGTGCGTCATTTGCTGTCTCCTACGTTCGTGTTGAAGAGTCTCACCTTCATCCTTTCTCAGATTTCTTCGGTGGATCCCTCGGCGGTCCTAACAATTCCACTTCATAATCGTCGCGTAAGTCGATGATCGCTTTCCTGCGCAAGCCTGTTTGGTTTTCTTTCATTGGACTTTGAAGCGGATAAAAACATTTCTACTTACCTATCTCACACTACATTCACCCTTCGTTTAACCCTCACACTGTAGAGTATGTCCTTGGTAATCCCAGTGTATCCATAACTATTGTGAATGCTGACGTCGATGAATCATGATATATGTCTTATATTGTGCCTAGTCTCGTTCCCAGACGTTATGGGACACGACCTCGCTACGCTCGGGGACGAGACAAAAGACGACTTGCTGACGCTCGTACCTAAAATAGAAATATTTCCATTTTGGGACACTGTTTGATGCGAAACCGTTTGTTCGTGAAAGACTAGTCTCGTACCCAGACGTTTTGGGAATCCCGATTGGGACAGGGGATGGCGACAAAAATGCACGGTCGCTCCCCCAACCGCGTGCTTTTTTGGTTTGCCTTCTTCTTCCCAAAACAGCACACGCGCGCATCTGCCTTTTTAGGAACGCAGTGACTGGCCCCCAGAGGTCTGGGTACGAGACCATGATTCGTGTCAGCATAACGTCTGGTCCGTTTCGCCCTTCCGGGTGTAGATGACCCTATCACGTGTTGTAATCTATGGGCGTTTGCGATAACATAACGGTGAGAACTCAAATCTGTTACCTTGTTGCGTTGGCATCTCCCTCTTAGCACCAATGAACTCTCGTCTCTCTCTCCTTTCACAAGTCCTGTCACCTACACCGAAGAACCTTTGCGTGAATAGCACGAAGGTACAAGGTACTGTCAAATGGCAGTACCAGCAATCTTCGTGCTATACACTACCGACGAGCACTCGACCGCAAAACGGTCTGTCATCTCTCTCCTCTCGGTGCACTCGAGTCACAGTCGCGGCCCCCGTCTACTACCTACTGCAGAACATCCGACTGAATATCTTCAAGCTCCGAGGTACTGTCAGATTACAGTACCGACAAATCTTCACTCGCACTACCTGGCGAGCTCACCACCACTGCGACAACAGCAGCTCGTTCGGTTCGGCCACCCTCTCTCTCATCGTCGCCCTCAGCCTCCGTGTCGCCTTTCACCCTGTACCACCAGCTGCTATCAAACACGACACTTCTGTACACATTCTCACCTCCGCCACACCTCTGGAGAGGTCTCCGAGGCGCAACTCGAGTCAGACAGTGCGGACGAGAGAACGGAGGGGGCACCTGGGGCCGGAGAACGCGAGGGTGGTAGCTGGCATCGAGTTGGCAGAGGTAGACGAGAGTGGGGTAGGGTGAGTGCACACACAGCAAGAAAAATTGACTACGCGACGTGCGTATTGCAAGTTGCACAAGTAGTGCTCGACGCATCAAACGACCCACCTGAACAACCCAGTTCGCTCGTCGACATCCAGGAGCGTGGATGAGGCCCATTCGCGCTGATACCTCAGACGGCTAAGAACTCGACAACGATCAAGCTCGAAGGCGCCGAGGTATATCAGTACGGGCTTACCCTCCTACACATCTACCACAAAATCAAGGTCACCCCGAATAACGGCAAGTGGAATGCCACATCAGGAAGGGGCAAAAAAAACTATCATATTCTTCTTTGGATGTCATAATTTATGAGAGTATAATTTAGCTTATTGATGGACGAGGGGGACGAGGGGAAGGATAAAATACGACAAGCGGGATGATGCATTGCCTGATGCGTGCTATCAACGGAAAGATTAGACAGACGCGCACAGATCAAGCGCACGTGATAGGGTCATCTACACCCACAAGGGCGAAACGGACCAGACGTTCGAACACTCACTCGAATGACATTTTGCTCGATCACACTTTTACACCCAACTTCGTCCCAATCAGGAAGGATTTCCATTTGTGGCAGGAGCGATAGCGACTGTCTCCCCGTTCGAACGTCTGGGAACGAGACTATATTGTGCCCATCGCCGCCTTCACGTTGAAGTCTTCTGAATTTAGGGCAAGTCTGAGACTCGGACATGACAAGATAGTCTTAGCCAGACGGCTCCGGCGTTGTGTGCTTACGATAGGGTTAGTCCGAATAAGGCAGTGTAGCCAAGTGGTTACGGCGTCACGTTTAGGCCATGTGCACAAACCGTGATGGGTTTCCCGCGCGAGTTCGAATCTCGTCACTGTCAATATTTTGTTCCTTCTGTCCAAGAGAACTCCTTCTCGTTGAATTTTGCTAACAACCAATTGATGAACATGGTCTGGTACACTTCCGCTTATAGAATGGCTCAAGTCACCTCTAGAAACCAAAAGGCCGATCAATACCACCTGGTCAGACTCGCAGTGATGTAAGAATGAAAGCGAAGGTTTGAGCCCATCTCCACTGCCTCGGCCATTCGGATTCAGTGAACGTGTCTATACAGTCCGACTCGGAGCATACGGAAAATGCAAGCATGTGCATCCGTTCACGTAAACAGGTCAATGTATGTATGACCAGCTTTGTCGGCTTACAACGGTCGGCATGTCATGAAATTCTCCATCTCGTCAAACTTAGTCAACGCCGCCAAGAATGAACGCTTGTGAACACTGCGAAGCAGTCAGGTGTGCATCGAACTTGAAATTGACAGCGTCAAAACCCTTCATTTCTTCGTCGTCGTCTGTTTTCTCTGCTGACTTGTTCCGATCGTCCAGTTCCTGAGACGCACTGGCATTTTGCCATAGTCCCAGTTCTCAATTCGTACTTCAACGAAATTTATCAGCAAAAATTATAAGATACTGATATGAGGTGCTGACCAAAGTGCACAATGCGGGGACTCCGAGCCTGGCTCTAAGCGTGTGCTGTTGCAGTATAATTACTGCAACAATAATCGATAGTCCGCGCCGTCCGAACTGCCAAATAAGCTTACGGTGGCGGCAGTTGACAGTGACGCCACTACATACATTGGTACCTTCATTCTGGGAAAAGCTTTGTGACCATGCATGGAATGATGTATGTCCAAAGCCTTCACGGCGGCTAGTACTGGTAATGCAGACCAGCGGTTTCAAAGGCGGAGCTTCAGTATAAGTAGAGGGTGTTGCTTTAGCTGTGTTCCGCACGGAGAAGTCAGCTTACCTCGAGCTCTTCACCATTATCGAGAAACCTCTCCTGCCTTGTACCAGTCAGAGCTCCTGCACATCCAAATTTCTTCATGATGAAGTACGCCTCGCTCTTCGTCGCCCTCCTCGCATCCACCGCTGCCGTCCTGGCAAGCCCGACGAAGACTCGGGCCACAGCATCGCTGTGCGACGTGTCCACAGTCACTTTGACGATTCCAAGCAGTACTTCTGGTACTCCGCTGGCGTCACCATTGTCTAGCGGTCCCAAATACATCGGCCTCGCTGTCGGCACGCAGAACTATACCTGTGGCTCGGCGGGCACTTACACGTAAGCGATTCCACATATCCATGACCAAGTCGCTCATTCCTGCATTAGTTCTGCTGGCGCGTTGGCCGAGCTTTTCGACATCTCTTGCCTCCCTCCCAGCACCTTCAACGGCCTTACCACTGCAGCCTACGTGGCATGGGAAGCTGCTCCAGCCTCTGTGACACCTCAGGATATTATCGACGCGCTGGCCGGCGCAGGCTCCCCCGAGGTCCTCGGGCAACACTACTTCATCACCAACGCCTCAGGAGGCCTGTCACCTAAATGGGATTTCACATCCGCCAGCATGGCAGGCAATCCCAACGCGTACGTGGTTGGCGTGAGAACCGGTGATATCCCTGCCCCGACCGACCCTACGGTCAACGTTGACTGGCTTAGCCTGAGCAACGGCGGCGGAGAGCTTGCCGAGCAGATCTTCAGAGTTCAGACCCGAGGCGGCCAGCCTCCGTCTTCTGTAAGTGAACAGATTTATCAAATTTACTGCCAGAAAGTTGACAGAAGTTGACGCTTACCTATGCAGTGCGCTCCCGGCTCTGCTGAAATCTACGTCAGATACACTGCCCAATATTGTGAGTGTCCCTATCAGCTTTTTCACGTCGATACTCGTCAGGCCTCATGATTTGTCTCTCGCCAGGGTTCTACTAGCCTGGAGGCTCGAGCTAGGTCGGGGACCTGAGATGTTCAAATGTTTCATGGCTGGCTCGAGTTACAAAGAGGCACTATGTATTCTCGATGTCGATGGTCCCGTCATTGTGTATCAGCGTATTGCAGGATGAATGAAATGATAGCTGTCTTACGTATATTTTGACGACGCGAAAGATATGATAGGTCCCACTAAAAGTCTGGGTCAGCGAAGGGACATCACAAGCAATCACTAGGTAGACACACCTCATCTAATTCGGAAGGAGGTGGTACTTTTGTTACAGATGCGAACATGATATTGTGTCGATCATTCAGGTAATTTCTGTTGTTATGCAGTGCGTGAGTTCTTGGTTACCACTTCGTATTCGTGTTAATTCTCGTATACTCATACGCACAACTGACCACTGACCTTCGCGTCCTTTGTGCGCGTGACACAAAACTAGAGCCAGACGTGTTGACCTCCACTAATGCTGGTGCAGCAGCCGAAGCAGATGTCGAGAGGCGCGCATAAACTGCACCCAGGAGTGACCGGCTTTAAACTCAGCTGTCTGTCAACGACGATCGATGGGCGCTGAGCCGTGATACAGGACGCTTACAGTGTATCGCCCTAATCACCGCGATCGACATACAGGTCACACACCTTCAATGAAGCCAAGTTTGTTCCTGCGCAGATTCAGATGAGTTAAGCACCCACGGTATGCCAGAAGGATAAAAGGGCGGAACTCAGCATCCATGTTCGCAAAACGCGACAAGTTCCCGTTTGTCCCTTTTTACCCCATCTTGCAGTCGCACTCCACACGCTCTTTGCATTCCTTGAAAATGATGCTCACTTCACTCTTCATCTCACTCATCGCGTCTGCACACGCCGTATCTGCAGCCCCAGCCCAAACCGGGTCCCGCTGTGACCTCTCCAAGGTCACTCTCACCATACCTGCAAGTTCTAGTGGCACACCGCTTGCTGCGCCTATTGCCGCAACACCTGAGTTCGTCGGCGTCGGCGTGGGTACCCAGAACTACACCTGCAACGCACAGGGTACATACGTGTCAGTAATTTTTACTGTTACTCTCGGTCTTCTGACTACTCACGATATTTGAATGCAGCTCTGCTGGGGCGTACGCAGAATTATTCGACGTATCTTGCCTCCCTTCAAGTGACTCGTATGAAACCATCATCGACATAGCTTCCGCCGCTTGGAGCATCGCACCAGCATCTTGGACTGCCGCAAAAGTTATTCAAGCCATGGCTGAATTGAAAAATCCCTCCGTGCTGGGACAGCACTATTTCGTGACGAACGCTGCTGGTGGTCTCTCGCCTAAATGGGACTTTACCTCAGCCAGCGAAGCAGGCCACGCCGACGCGTTCGTCATCGGCGCGAAAACTGGAGACATTCCCGCTCCGACGAACCCGACCAAAAATATTGACTGGCTGAGTCTCAGCGCCGCTTCGGGTGACCTTGCTACTCAGGTGTACAGGCTGCAGACCAGGGGAGGACAGCCGCCTTCTACTGTGAGTATAGTTTGGTTCAGTCTCGAGCCGTTCAAAATAAGGAGCTGATACCATGAACGTAGTGCACTGTCGGCTCCCCTGAAATCTTCGTAAAATATGTCTCTTTATATGGTGAGCACTTCAAAGCCATCGTATGACAACCGTAAACTGACCAGCGAGCGCTCATAGCTTTGTTGGGCGGAAGTTTCTGAATCTATAGGAGTTTCGGAGCTTGCAGTGATTGGGTAGATTACTTGTTGATTTTCTGGGTTGAGGCTATACCCTTCATTTTGCTCTTCATCTGCGGTCCCCTACTGGACTGCTGCCTGTCATTACCAACCGTTTCTGCAGTCATCGAGAGGAATAGCTGTAATCCATTTATGCATGTTTTGCCAGTGACTGAGGTTCTTTGTGCGAATCCAGCGATATTGTGCCCGTTATACTGATACATCAAGCCAAAATATAAACAAAAATTGCGGGGCAACGTCGTGCGTTCAAAACATGCTTGCAAATTTGGGATCATGCCATTTCTCGACGACGAAATTGACCAAGTCCAAGTCTGCACAGGAGTTGAAGTTTTAGCCACATGAAACGACTCTAGACGGTGACACTTGCCCAGGTCGTCACCAAGATTCAGGCAGGCTTGAGCCTTAACGCTGTTGGGGCTTTGGGCGATACCAATTATTTCGACGAAGCTTGAAGTCATGCTAGATTCTGATCCCTAAGTGCAGGCATCAACACCAAATCATCCAGTGCGTCCCTATATTCCTAACGCACTGAGATCATGATCACCCTGACCTCTCCTCCATCGCTGGCTTGTAAAACCACCTCATTTGATGCGTCGGTAAACTAGCAAGAATTTTCAGATACCAAACTTCTGCGAGATTGTGCATCACCTACGCGTAGTACTTTGCCAGTCAACCTTACGGTGCGAGAGAGATAGTCTCCTAGGCGAGCCGAATTCACGCGGGGTGAGTTCAAACTAGACATCTTCGTCTAAGAAACCAAGTATTTGCATAAGTTCCAGGGTAGCAAAGCTTTCAACACGTACTCGAGTAAATTGGTAGCCGGGTGGTCAAAGTGGCGGAGCGGGAGTTACCAAGAAGCTCAGTCGCGTCCGTGACATTGCAACGCGTTTGTCACACAATGCCCAAACTGGAAAACATGCTGTCACACTGACAGGCCGAGCCGTGGTTTGGTCTTCGCCTCTTGTTGACAAGGACTCTGGCCTCTGGCTTGTGGTAAACGGCTTGGGCCCTCTCTCTCTTAATTGTTACATCCCCGCTCCTTGGACACGCTTTTTCAGACGTCCTTCTGGAGGACAGTTCATCATGACGCGTTTCCGGGCGTACGCAACAGACAGCGATGAGGAGGGCTCATCATCCGATGCAAGTATTCTGGTGGAACAAATTTTACCGGCCGCAGGACCCTCCACGAACCGTGCAACTGGACGTCCGCGCCAGCCGCCTTCCAACTCTGGTGATAGCGACCTGTACACAGATTTGCACGAACAGGATGCAGGTTCAGAATCAGATTCGCCACCCCCGAATACCTCAAGGTTGACTGATCAAACCCTCATACCATGGGCGCGACAGGTCGGCGTGGATAGACAGAAAATGCTTGTTATGCAGTCTGCGCTC